TCTGTCATGCCAAATGGGGCTGGTCTGTCTTTTGTGAGACCAGTTCTTACAAGGGAGTTGTGAACTTAATTTACACTTGTAAGAGAGATTTGAGATGATTAAATTTTGAAGTACTGGACATTGTTTTCTCAGTGGGAAATTCCTCTTCCAGGGACTGTGTGTGTGTTCGAATCAACATAGGTGCCAGCCGGTGGCAGTTCTCGCATATCCTGATCTCTCCTCATATCTATGTTTCAGCTTCTCAGGATCAGATGAGCCAGCATAGACTATGCTGATTTTATTGCTCCTTCTCTGTCCTGTATGCTTCAGAGAGGCCAATAAGATGGATGATATGGAGGCGGGCTGTCTGGCCACAACCGGTTAACTGTTATCCAGTAAGCTTCACCCTTAATGGTTAAAAGTAATGCTTATTGGGTAACCAGTTACCTGTCAACATCCCTAATTTATGAACAAAAAAGTTTAAAATAAAATTTAAGGATTTAGGTTATTCAGATTAATGAAATGCCACAAATCCATAGAGTTTTATTCATTGGCAAACTAAAAGGCCCTGTTCTTGCAAAAACTCAGAAATTAACTCTCACGACTAATTCCACTGAGTTCATGAGCATAAATGTTGGCAGCATCAGGGCCCAAATTCCTATATAATTTAAAGGTGAAAATTTTCGAACAATATCCCATCTACCATTCATTTCTGGCAAGTTGAAAAATAGCCTTTGCTTCATGTGACCCACAAAATCAGTGCTTTAAAAACCTCAATAGCAATAAATGTATAGCAAACTGTACCCATAGTGGTAATGACAAAGTATCTTGGCGTGATCAGAATTAATTTTTTCTCAGTGTACCACCTACAGCTCTACAGCAAATGGGAGAGATGAAAAACCAGCAAGGAAACGAGATTTACATTGTATAAATAGCTTTAACAATGGAGAGCTAAACTCTTAAAAATACTTTGTCCTTTTAACTTAGATTGTCTCAACACAGTATTAAATAGGTGTGTTATTTTGATGAAGTATTATGGTATTAAATCATCAACGTGACAGTAGTCTTATAATATATGGTAATAATATATCCTCAGAATGACAGTACTCCGTAATGCATTACAGTAAAGCATTGTCACAGCAACGAGGTATTGAACATATATTACACAAACACCATTAAAGTGATGGAAACTTTATGACATTACTTTTTAAACATAGTTTCAGTTCAAGAGGGCTGCTTGGGATTTACTATGAGTTAATTTTTTTTTTTTAGCATTTTACATCCTCATTCACACTTTGGCTATGTCTGCACTGCAGTTAAAAACCTGTGACTAGCCTGTTCCAGATGACTGGGGCTTGCCTTAGAGGCTCATGAAAAGGGACTGTTTAATTGCAATGTAGACATATAGGCTTGGGCTGCAGCCCAGGCACTAGGATCTTGCCGATACTGCAGTTAACAGCCTCTTATCCTGATCCCCACAAGCTGGAGCGGGTGTCTAACTGTAGTGTAGACATACCTTTTATCTCCTCTTGCCTCGCTCACATTTCTAGGTTGTTCCCAAACCTCTATATGCTCACAAGTGCTTCTGTTCACTTTCTTCACACATACAAATTAAGGATGTAAGCAACTAGTTGAGTTGAGAACTTGACTACTCTCATTCCTCCTCCCCCTGTCCTCCCCCACTCCCTCTATATCAGACTGTTTTAAAACAGCTGGTGGTTCTCTCTAATGGCCCTGTGCCTCTGGCAGGGCGGGGGTAGAGGGCGAGAGACTTTGTACACTCCCATGCCCCCCAGGCCCTGATTGGCCTGCGGGCGAGAGGAGCTTGCAAAGTCTCCTCTCCATGCCAGAGGTGTGTGGCACCTAGAGGGGTAATTCTCTCTAGGTGCTGGAGGGAGAGCGGAGGCAAAGACTTCACATGCTCCCTCACCCCCAAGTCAATCAGAGTCTGTGGGCAGGCGAGCATGAGAAGTCTTCTGACCATGCCCCTTCTGCCCAGGGCCACTTCAGAAATTTGTGAAGTGTTCTCCCCTCTCATAAAAATTATTGCCACCTCTGCTCTGACCACTTCACCACCGTCTTTCAATAGTAACAACTGGATCCCCAGTCCTTTCTAAATCCTGTTAAAAATTACTATCCCTAAAATTCTCTATAGACTTGCCAGAGACTTTGATTGTGGCATATGCTCAGTGTTGTAACGATGTTGTACTAATAAATATCAGTACTCCTTGATAAGTCTGCTGAAAATACAGGTTAGCTTTTAAAAGGGTGGACATATGTTTCTTTTGTATCTCATGTTCACTTTTTATTTTGTTTGGATTAAATCCTCTTTTTGAGAAGTGGATATCTAGAACTATCTTTAACAATTTAGCCTTTTTCATTAACCATCTTCATTGTCTCTCTTAATTTTAAAGATCTGAGAAGTTGTAAATCTCTGCATCTGAGTTTCCATGTAGTGTGTTTTAGCAGAATAGTTTCAAACGGAATTGCTCAACTAGAACAGCTTAAAATAGAAAAGCATCCCTAATTTCTTACAAAATACAGGACTATGTAGCACTTTAAAGACTAACAAGATGGACTAACACGGCTACATTTCTATCACTAATTTCTTACAGTGCTTGTCAAAAATCCTACATCTTCAGTGATGTAGACTGGCATTATTGTGGACATTTGCATGCTAAGACCCTACGTAAGTGAACTTGTATTGTACACTCTTAACTGGTACACTGTTAATATCATTTTCTAGCTTCTGAAAACAATTTGCTGAACAGGCGTTTGAAACTTCATTATGAAGAAATCACTCCATGCTTGAAAGATGTAACTTTAGTTTGGGAGAAAATGCTGAGTACACCAGGAAGGTCAAAAACAAAAATTGACATGGAAACAATACATTCTGCTGTTGGGCAAGGTAAGAATAGCCTATATTTTTCAAATGGTGAAATTTATGTATAACTAATGTTAGAAGTCACTCGGTTACTCTTCTCTACTAATATTAGTTCTCTTCTTACCCTATCAAGTGGGGACTTCTCAGTGGTTTAAATAAACAATTGACAATGTTTAAACTGACACATTTGAGGCCCATTGCCCCTCAACTACACATATGCCATTCCCATTGATTTACCTTAGGGTAAAGTACAGCCAAACACTAGGTCGTAACTTGATCTGTTCGTAAGTCAGATTAAATTCACTTACTTACGGCCACGCTGTTTGTAAGTGCGGATTTTGTTTGTAATTCGGGTTCCAACTGTATAGGAGGTTGGTCATAAATACGAACGGTCATAAGTCGATGCATTCGTAACTCGGGGACCGGCTATTTATAGTGTTCACTTTTAATGAACTTCTTCCTAAAGGAAAAAGAGATTAAGACAGCATAATTGTAGCAAAAGCAGCTCAGTTGTATTAGACACTGTTGAAAAAAACTCAGATAATTCCTCCAAGATTTATTTATTCATGTACAGAGCAGAGCGAACTCTCTGTTACCTGGAAATCCTGTCCCAACTCTGACTGCATACCCTGTCAGAAAGTGGTTCAATACAGTATCTGTACAAGAGAATAAATTGGTCCCAAGTGAGTCAATGATATCTACTACAGCTGAGTGGAATTTGTAATTTCAGTCGTTCAGGAAATTCCAATGTTAGTTTTCATCCTGAAATGAGATGAAAAGTTGAAATGTCAATTTTTTTCACAGAACAAATTCTGAATATAATATTTTAAATGCCAGAGCATTTCATTTCAATATTTTTGATCAAAACAAAACATTTCAGCATGCTTAAAAACAAAATATTTTCCTATGTTGAAATGACTCAGAAGTCTTCCTTTTGAGTCAGATTAGCATTAAATTCCATTCTCGTACAATATTGCCTTATGGGAGTGCTTGTTCAGGCTCTGCCAGCAGCCAGCTTCCAGGGAGATTCATATCTTCCATAATACAGTGTGGTTTAGCTGATTGACTTGTATAGTTTGAATGCTTCTATGAAAATGAAGTGGAAAAAATGCCTTGAATGTTCAGTGATCATGAAGCCTACAGAGCTCAAATTAGCAATAAATGGCTCCCAGGGTATTGCTGAACATGCATGAACTCTACACATGTTTATGAGAAAAATGTCTGTTTTCCTCACTGTTGTTTTCTATGCAATGCCAGAACAAACATTCTTTTCTTCAGCCAACTTGTCAGGGCCATATTCTAGGCCTGTTGTTTCATATATGGATAAGGAACTATGATAGTCACACTCCTCCCCTCATTGCTGCACGCACTTCACCACAGACACAACAAAGAAATATGTTCTGAAGTAGTTCCACAACTATATTAATAGAGGGTTGAGCTCTTTACTGGCAGATATTGGCTCTTTATTTATCATGGCTGTCGATTAATCATAGTTAATTCATACTATTAGTAATCTAATAGTAGAATCAGTTGACATTTATTAAATATCTCTGGATGTATTTGTACATTTTCAAATGTATCGATTTAAGTTACAACACAGAGCACAAATTATATACTGCTCACTTTATTATTATTAATAATATTTACACTGTTAAATGGTAAACAAAAGACATAGTATTTTTCAGATCACTTTATACAAGTACTGTAGTATAAGCTCTTTATGAAAGTTAAATTACAAATGTAGATTTTTGTTTATTACATAACTGCACTCAAAAATAAAAGAATGCAAAACTTAAGCACCAACAGGTCCACTCAGTCTTACTTGTTCACCCAATAGCTAAGACAAATAAGCTTGTTTATATTTATGGAAGATAATGCTGCTCACTTCTTATTTACAATGTCACCTAAAAGCGAGAACAGGTGTTCACATGGGATTTTTGTAACCGTCATTGCAAGGTATTTACGTGCCAGATATGTTTAACATTTGCATGCACCTTCATGCTTCAGCCACCATTCCACAGTACATGCTTCCATGCTGATGACATTTGTTTAAAAAAAAATGTTAATTACATTTGTCACTGAACTCCTTGTGGGGGAGACTTGTATGTCTCCGTCTCTATTTCACCTCCATTTTGCCATATATTTATGTGATAACTATCTTGGATGATGACTCAGCATATGGATCATTTTAAGAACACTTTCACTTCAGATTTGGCATAATGTAAAGAAGGTACCAATGTAAGATTTCTAAAGATAGCTACAGCACTTGACCCAAGGTTTAAGAATCTGAAGTGCCTTCCAAAATTTGAGAGGGACAAGGTATGAAGCATGCTTTCAGAAGTTTAAAAGACCAAAACTCTGGTGTAGAAACTATAGAACTTGAACGAAAACGAAAAGAAAATCAGTATTCTGCTGGTGGTACAGAATCAGATGACGAAAATGAACATGCATTAGTTTGCATTGCTTTGGACTGTTGTTGAGCAAAACCCATTGGATGCATGCTCTCTGCAGTGGTGGTTAAAGCTTGAATGGAAATATGAATATTTTGTGCATTTGACGTATAAATATATTGTGACCCCAGCTACAAGAGAGTCATGCAAATGCCTGTTCTTATTTTCAGATGATATTATGAACAACAAATGAGCAGCATTATCTCTTGCAAATGTAAACAAACTCTTTTGAGTGATTGGCTGCATAAGAAATAGGACTGAGTGGACTTTTAGGATCTAAAGTTTTACATTTTTTTTAATTTTTACATGCAATTATTTTGTACATAATTCTACATTTGTAATTTCAACTTTCATAATAAAGAGTTTGCATTACAGTACTTTTATTATGTAAACTGAAAAATACTATTTCTTTTGATTTTATAGTGCAAGTACTTATAGCTAAGAATAAATATAAAGTGAGCACTACACACTTTATATTCCATGTGATAATTTGAACTGTGTGTTTGAAAATGTAGAGCACACCCAAAATAGTTAAATAAATTATATTCTCGTTTTCCTTAACAGTGCAATTAATCACACAATGATAATTTAATTTTTTTTGCTTGACAAACCTTTTTTATTATATTATATATGAAAAATAGGAGAGCCATCTATAGCTGAGTTCTGCTGCCACACAGCTTGACTATCTTGTATATATTTGGCATAGCTATCTTCCTAAGTATTTCAGAAATGGGTGATCAGTCCTGTCTGAACAGCATAAATGGGGACACAACCTGAGGATTTTTATGGAAAAACACATTTGCTGATTGTTTGTATACTGCTATTTGTATTGCAGTAATTTTTGGAGGATTCAGCCCTTTAGAGCCAAGAGCCTTACGTTCTCAATCTGCGTAGAGTAGTAGGTCTTCTTTGGCTAGGTAGCTAGCCGTCATCCACTGCTGACAGGTATTTAATAAACTACATTGTTGAACCTGTCTGTTCATCCGCTGATAGATAAGAAAATGACGCCACGCTAGTTGAGTTATAACTCGGATATACCAGTGTACAGCTCCAACATGTGTAGCATAAGCAAAGGAAGGTATTGCTTTCCTAAAATGGCATACGCTAAATGCTGGCCACCTGGAAGGGCTGGAGCTGTGGCATGGCAGCCCACCTCTTCAGCACCCAGGAGGCATCAGACAGCTGCCCCAGGAGCTCTGAACACCTGAGAAGGGCGGGGCCATGCCACTTGGTGGGATGGAGGACAGTAAGAGGGCTGGGGGCAGTAACCTTTGATGGGAACCAGGCTTGACTCCACAGAGAGGAGAGGTGGCAGAAGGGGTAGGACCTCAGGTGGAAGGAATGGAGGTAGGGCTTGCCTTGCCCAGTTGGGCCCTCACACCACCACCCAGGAGCTTTAATTTTCTAACTTTATTCCTGACAATGCGGGGGGGAGAGGGGTCCTTCAATTAATTTTAGTAAGAAACTCCAGCCCTCAAAACAAACAAACAAACAAAAACAAAAAAACCCTCAAAACATGATTCAACATAGATGTACCATAATTCAACATAGCTGTACCATACACCAAATCCTAATTCAGAAAGAGTTTTTATACTAACTTTTTTACTGTCATACTTAAACTATATTTTATCTGCTTGCTTTAATTCGTTTGAGTCTTAATCTGTAATAGGATTTAAATACAAAATATCTTTAAAATAGGATTAAATAACTTATTTATGTAGATGTCGCATTGGACACAGATATGAGAACAATTTATGAACTGTTTACCCTGAAGGTGATTTAATTGATATATAACTGTGTATACAGTAGTAGTAGATATATATTATTGGCCATCGGTGGATATACTTATTCATTTCAGTTTTCATGTAAGGAAGAACTATAAAATTATCCTGCGTAAGTATTTCATCTAGAGGTAGGCCTATACTATATTTTTTCAGTTCACTGGCAGTTCTAAACAGTCATGGACAATTTTGTTTTGTTTCACAAAAATACTTTTTTTATTTCATTATTGTTTTTTTTTTATTTTTAAAATAAAATTAAAGGATTTCAAAACCAATGTTTAATAAAATAAATTATTTTAAAAAATCAAAATGAAATATGTGGATGCTTTCCTTGATTGAAATAATTGAGTGAAATTAACAAAATTTGTTTTAATATAGCTGAATCTTCCTTTTTTGCCAAAAATGTTTGACTCTGACTTTTCTCAGCCCTTATTTGGTAATTTTTTATTTTGACCTCCTGTTTTGACCTCTTCCTATGCTTTAAATATTTACTTAGTATAAAAACTCTTTCTGAATTAGGATTTGGTGTATGGTATATATCTGTTGAATTCTAAAATGTGACCTTTAAGTCCAGCACATTTCAGGCTAGATTTGGATGCTCTTATTTGTTCTGAATAAAATCTTATGCTATGAGTAGCCCTATGGATTTCTTAAAGTACCTTTACTCATGTGGAATAGTAACACAGCTTGACCTGTTATGCTAATACTTTGCACTTCCTTTGTCTACAGATTTTAGAGCACTACAAGCAATTATGAGTTAAAACTCCCATACATGGTTTAGGGAAGTAGCATAATCTTTTCTTCCAAATAGGGAAAGTAAAGCTTTAAAACATGATTTCTTGCTCAAGGATGCACAGGAAGTCTATAGCAGAAGTAGGAATAGAACACCATTCTTCCTAGTTGTCAAGCCTCTGTTTTAATTGCTAGATGATGTCAGAATTGCACATGCTGGGTGCTTATGGTATGCACAAATCCTAGTGCACTGTATCTTGTGCTAATCAGAAGGACAATAGTATCATTTGAGATATTAGAAAATAATCTATAGGAATTCCATCAGAAAGTTTTAAGTTGTATACTTCAGTTTAGAAAGAGGTGAAGGAGACTAATAACTTGACAGTTTGGCAGTCTTAGGTTGCTTAGGCAAGGAAACTGATGCAATAACTGTTTGTTAGTGGTGCTTCTCTCTCAAAATAGATGCATAATGCTAATTTCAGCCTGGTACAGCCAGCATGCCAACCCTAGGACTAGTGTGTATCCCTCCTGTTAGGATTTTGTGTGCTTTGGGAGGTGGGAGAAAATCAAATCAGATCAACCTGAATTCCATTTAGGTTGGCCTGCTGCATACCCAGCTTCTATAGTCTTCCATAAGGTGTATTAATTGAAAGGTTAGAGATAATTTCAATTAGATAAACAATGGAACCTCAGATTTATGAACACCTTAGGAATGGAGGTTGTTCATAAGTCTGAGCAAAACATGAGGACAGATGAATATTGACTTAATACAGCTTTGAAACTTTATTATGCAGAGGAAAAATGCTGTTTTTCCTTTATTTTTTAAAATTATTTACATTTAACACTGTACTGTACTGTATTTAGTTTTGGGGGTGTTTTTTGGTTGCTGCTGTTGTGTGATTGTATTTTCGGATTCCAAATGAGGTATGTGATTGACTCATCAGTTTGTAACTTTGGTGCTGCAGAACTGTTTACTGGAGGCATGTTTTAACTCTTGTGATTAGAAGAGCAATCTATTTCCCACTCACCCTTATTTTTTCCTTTTTTGCAAGGAGTACCACGTCATCACCGGGGTGAGATCTGGAAGTTTTTAGCAGAACAATACCAGCTTAAACATCAGTTTCCAAGTAAGCAGCAGCCAAAGGACACTCCCTACAAAGAACTCTTAAAACAATTAACATCCCAGCAACATGCAATACTTATTGACCTGGGTAAGTCTACAGCATCATTGTGAAATGAGAACTAAAGTTTCATAACCTTTGGAGAGGTAGAATTCTAAAGAAGAAAATAACCGGTAAAATGTTTCTTGATTAATAATCGTTTATGGATAGGAAGTGATTTTAATCTAATATAATTGAAAATAATTATTTCACATCATTAGGAAATCATTAAGTCTATATTTCAATTACAGAATTGTTCTACAATCTCCTCTCATTAGATAGGGCAAATAAACAGTTTGATATATGTGTGATTAATGCAGCTATGGTTCAGATATTGACAGGGAACTCCTAAAGTCAATGGGATCGAAACTGACAGGGAAGCAGGTCTGTAAGAGTTGAGGCTTGTTTATAATAGGCATGACTCATTTCTAATCCTCAATGCTGCCTTCTGTTTAAAACAGCTTTATTTGGAAAAGTGTAGGTGTTTGGTTCTAATGAGTATCCATAGATTGTTGGCTTTATTTTGGTAAAACAATTCAGAAATAAATTCGTATGTCTTTCAAAGGTATTTGTTGAGTCTCACTCAGTTTCTGTTCTAAAATTCTGTGCTGCCTGGTATGCTTCATGACCAGAGGGCCTACCTCAGGGCAGACTGTCAAAAAGCAGAGCAGATACCCCACCAGTGCCGTGTTCCATAATTACATTTCACCACGCCAGTACCAAATGTGAAATCTCAAAGAGTTTCAGAGAGGTAGCTGAGTTAGTCTGTACCTGGAAAAACTTAAAAAACAACGAATAATCTAGCAGCACCCAAAAGACTAATAAAACATGTAGATGGTATCACGAGTTTTCGTGGGCACAACTCACTTCTTCAGATGACTGAAGAGTTGTAATAGTTTTATAATGGAATCCCACACAGCTTCTTTTGACACTCCAGTCTATCTTGCCACTCAGGCAAGATGGACTATGTGATAAATGGTCACTTATACCAAAAAATTACAAAATATTCAGGTTACATTCTCTCCCAAGAGACCAGTCACTCGCCCAGGTCAGTTTCCATCATAGATCTCACACCAAACACAATGCTGGTAACCAGTTCTGCAGTAAACTTACCAAAGGTTTATTAGCTAAAAAATGGGGGAAATTGGTGTTACTGAGATGTTGAAGTAGAAAATGTATGCGAGTTGCTGTCTGTAATTTCAAAAAGCAGCTGAAAGGTAAGCACTCTGCCAGTCTCCCAAAAGTCTTTTAGGGCTACCCAGAGTAACACTATCAGAGGGGTAGCCATGTTAGTCTGAATCTGCAAAAGCGGCGAGGATGCATCTGACGAAGTGGGTCTTTGCCCACGAAAGCTTATGCTCCTACACTTCAGTTAGTCTCTAAGGTGCCACAGGACTCCTCGCCGCTTTTGCAGAGTAACACTGGGGATCTCAGTCTTATAGTTTAGTTATACTGTCCAGACTTGAAATGTTTTTCTGTCCATACTTAAAGTTTCTTCTTACAGAAACCAAGATGACAGCAACAGTTCCCACACAGGTCCCTTCTTCATGGGGAGGGTTTATGCACTTAAAGACTTTGATCCATGATCCTGCACGGTGGATCATTTGCATTTAATGAACAGAATTTAACTTTTTTTTTTTCAGGTGCCATAAATTGCTTAATACAGTTCTTTTTCCCTGTTTGGTGAGTTCCATAGTCACAGATGTTTACAATACCAGTGCTTGCTAACGTTTTACAGTGTGGGGTATAGCCAACAGAGAACAATAGTATGCAGCTTCCTATAGGCATTTTAGAAATCATTAAACACTTTTTATCAACATAACATATGACGTTTACTTTGATAATGCTAACACATAGGGTAAAGAGACTAGTTTCTATATTGGAATTTGTAAGTGTTCAGGAGGCCTAAGGCCTTGGCACGAGCTGGCATCTGGCCTGTTAATGTCAAGTTTTCTTAAAAAGAGGAGCCTAGATGAGGTTGCTGAATTCATATCTTGTCACCTGAACAAGCAGACTGACCTTCAAAGGTGCTGAGCACTCAGCCATTGCCCTGGGCTTCCTAAGGAGCTGCTACTAATGTTCAGTACCATTGTTAATCAAGCCAGTTACTATAGATTTAGGAGGCTAACCTTAGGCAAACATTTTTGAAAATCTTTTCCTTTAGCCATCCTCCATTCCATTTCTTGAGTAGCTTTTAAAGCTTGTCAGGGTGTTTATAATATCAGGGTGAAATACACGATACTAAGATTAAATTGTGTGAAACTGTTGTTTTAGGGTGAGGTCACAGAGGAGTGATTTGAGCTAATTTTATTAATAGTGAGAAGAGAGTTAAAGTTGATAGTCTCTGGCCACCCAAAAGACAATATTCCATGCATATCAGTTCATTTTCATTTTCTCTCTCCTTGTCAGCATTAGGGATGTTAAAATATGTTTATTTATGTAAACATGTAATGGCTGAAGTTTACAGTGGTTACACATTTACATGCAGGGGGCCTGGTAGGAGCCGGCTCATCACACATACTGGCTCCCACCTGCCCCCTGTTGGAGGAGGAAGAGGCAATTCTACGGGAGCTGACTTAAGCCAGCTCCCCACATGTTCCGGCTTCCAGTGCGCCTCTTCTCCCTCCCGCTCCCCCTACCCCCAGCTGCCTGTGTGTCAGAAGCTTGGGAGCTGGTATGCGTGGGGAGCTAGCTTAAAAGCTATTTCCCCATGCACACTGCCTCCTGTCTCCAACCGCCCTGGCTCTGATATAGAGTTGGGGCGGGGGGAGATTTTGTGTAACCCTTAGGATTCACCAATGAGCCCAGGTTCATTAATAAATCATGTATATAAAGGTGCACATTCACATCTCTAGTCAGCATTACTGTTCTCTCTCAAAATGCCAAAATATAACAGTTCTGCCTCAGAATACTAAAGACGTCTAAGTACAGAAGACTTTCAGTCCTGAAGGCAGATGTTCTTTAAGATGTAGATTTCTATTGAACAATATTATATTAATGCACATTGCTAAGACTGGCCTCTTAAGTGGTGTGTCCAGCCGTGTTCTTCCCCAATCAGCATGCTAGCCATGTGTAGTCATGAGTCTGCTATTTTGTTTCACAGAATTTGTTAGGCTGCTTTCTTGTTCCTGCTTGTGTTTTCTATTGCAGTCTTTCTCCTCTTACAATGGTAGTTCCCTGCCAGCTCCAGCCTCTCCTCCCCCCACTGATAGTGTAGACTTTGCACCAACACAGACATTTAGAACATAAAAATGGCCATGCTGGGTCAGACCAAAGGTACATCCAGCCCAGTACCCTGTCTGCCGACAGTGGCCAATGCCAGGTGTCCCAGGGGGAGTGAATCGAACAGGTAATGATCAAGCGCTCTCTCTCCTGCCATCCATCTCCACCCTCTGACAACAGAGTCTAGGGACACCATTCCTTACCCATACTGCCTAATAGCCATTTATGGACTTAACCTCCATGAATTTATCTAGTTTTCTTTTAAACCCTGTTATAGTCCTAGCCATCAAAACCTCCTCAGGCAATGAGTTCCACAGATTGATTATGCGCTGTGTGAAGAAGAACTTCCTTTTATTTGTATTAAACCTGCTGTCCATTAGTTTCATTTGGTGGCCCCTAGTTCTTATATTATGGGAACAAGTAAATAACTTTTTCTTATTAACTTTCTCCACACCACTCATGTTTTTATAGACCTCTATCATATCCCCCCTTAGTCTCTTCTTTTCCAAGCTGAAAAGTCCCAGTCTCTTTAATCTCTCCTCTGGATCTGTTCCAAACCCCTAATCATTTTAGTTGCCATTCTCTGAACCTTTTCTAATGCCAGTATATCTTTTTTGAGATGAGGAGACCACATCTGTACAGGCAGTTCCCGGGTTACGTTGATCCGACTTAAGTCGGACCCCTATTTACGAATGAGGGGGGCGCAGCTAGTGCGGGGTGCCTCCCCCACTCTCGTTGCCTCCGGCGGTGCAGGGGGCGCTTCCCCCCAGCAGACTAGGGAGACGCGGAGCGGCTTTTCTCGCCGCGGAGGACTCGGGCGGCGGGACTGCCGAGAC